ACTCTGGGTCCTTGGTTTCCAAATGAGATGCAAAAGTTGCTCTCATCAGAAAAGAGGACTTTGGACCACTCAGCAACAGACCAGGTCTGTTTTTCTTTAGCCTAGGTAAGACGCTTCTGACGTTGTTTGTTGTTCAGGAGCGGCTTGACAAGAGGAATACGACATTTGAAGCCCAAGTCCAGGATCCGTCTGTGTGTGGTGGCTCTTGATGCACTGACACCAGCCTCAGTCCACTGCTTGTGAAAGTCCCCAACACTTTTGAATGGCTTTTTCCTAACAATCCTCTCCAGGCTGTGGTCATCCCTGCTGCTTGTGCACCTTTTTCTTCCACACTTTCCCTTCCACATAACTTTCTATTAATGTGCTTTGATACAGCACTTCGGGAACATCCAACTTCTTTTGCAATTACCTTTTGAGGCTTTCCCTCCTTATGGAGGGTGTCAATGATGGTTTTCTGCACAACTGTCATGTCAGCAGTCTTTCCCATGATTGTGATTCCTACTGAACCAGACTGAAAGACCATTTAAAGGCTCAGGAACCCTTTGCAGGTGTTATGGCTTAATTAGCTGATTAGAGTGGGACACTTTGAGCCTAGAATATTGCACCTTTTCACAATATTCTAATTTTCTGAGATTGTGGATTTGGGGTTTTCATGAGCTGTAAGGCATAATCATCACAATGATGACAAATCATGGCTTGAACTATCTTGCTTTGCATGTAATGAGTCTATCTCATATATTAGTTTCACCTTTTAAGTTGCATTACTGAAATAAATGAACTTTTGCACGATATTCTAATTTTTCGAGTTTCACCTGTACACAGGCTGAGCACAGGCAGCAAGATCTCCTTCTTTGTTCCTTCACAAACTACACACAGCTGAAATCTGATTCCCAACTGTGACCTCTGTCCTCTCTCCTTCCAGCGGTGACCCTGTCCTCTCTCCTTCCAGGAATGACCCTGTCCTCTCTCCTTCCAGTGGTGACCCTGTCCTCTCTCCTTCCAGCAGTGACCCCTGTCCTCTCTCCTTCCAGCAGTGACCATGTCCTCTCTCCTTCCAGCAGTGACCCTGTCCTCTCTCCTTCCAGCAGTGACCCCTGCCCTCTCTCCTTCCAGCAGTGACCCCTGTCCTCTCTCCTTTCAGCAGTGACCCTGTCTTCTCTCCTTCCAGCAGTGACCTTGTCCTCTCCTTCCTGCTGTGACCCTGTCCCTCTATCCTTCCAGCTGTGACCCTGTCCTCTCTCCTTCCAGTGGTGACCCCTGTCCTTTCTCCTCTTCCAGCGGTGACCCTGTCCTCTCTCCTTCCAGCAATGACCCTGTCCTCTCTCCTTCCAGTAATGACCCTGTCCTCTCTCCTTCCAGCAGTGACCCCTGTCCTCTCTCCCTCCAGCAGTGACCCCTGTCCTCTCTCCCCCCCAGCAGTGACCCCTGTCCTCTCTCCTTTCAGCAGTGACCCTGTCCTCTCTCCTTCCAGCAGTGACCCTGTCCTCTATCCTTCCAGCTGTGACTCTGTCCTCTCTCCTTCCAGTGGTGACCCCTGTCCTCTCTCCTTCCAGCAGTGACCCTGTCCTCTCTCCTTCCAGCGGTGACCCTTGTGCTCTGTTCTTCCAGCAGTTACCCTGTCATCTCTCCTTCCAGTGGTAACCCCTGTGCTTTCTCCTTCCAACAGTGACCCTGTCCTCTCTCCTTCCAGCAATGACCCTGTCCTCTATCCTTCCAGAAGTGACTCTGTCCTGTCTCCTTCCAATGGTGACCCCTGTGCTCTGTCCTTCCAGCAGTGACCCTGTCCTCTCTCCTTCTAGTGGTGACCCTGTCCTCTCTCCTTCCTTCCAGCAGTGACCCTGTCCTCTCTCCTTCCATCAGTGACCCTGTCCTCTCTCCTTCCATCAGTGACCCTGTCTTCTCTCCTTCCAGCAATGACCCTGTCCTCTCTCATTCCAGAAGTGACTTCTGGCTTGTCTCCTTCCTGCGGTGACCCTGTCCTCTCTCCTTCCAGCGGTGATCCCTATGCTCTCTCCTTCCTGTGGTGACCCCTGTCCTCTCTCCTTCCTGCGGTGACCCCTGTCCTCTCTCCTTCCTGCGGTGAACCCTGGGCTCTATCCTTCCAGCGGTGACCCCTGTCCTCTCTCCTACCAGTGGTGACCCTGTCCTCTCTCCTTCCAGAGGTGACTTCTGTCCTGTCTCCTTCCTGCGGTGAACCGTGTTCTCTTTCCTTCCAGTGATGCCCCTGAATGAAAATAAGCGGAATTTCCCATTTTGCATGAAGTTCCACCTTAAAATGTATCTATGGTCAAAAAGTCTAATCTTCTATACATTTCCACATTGTGTTTCAATTATTTCTAGCCTTCTCCTGTTACTCTGAATGATCTTGAAGACTGTAAACTTACTTAGTGAAGATCCCCACACATTTAGGGTCGTTTCACACTACCACACTGCGGTTTGGCCGCAACACAGGTGTACCTTCAGTTTTCATGAGTATTACCCGCAGTTTCCCAAAGACTTTTTATTACCTTCCATATTTTAAAACGTGTTTTTTGAAAGCACACCGAAGATGCTGCGTGCAGGACTTCTTTGTGCGCTTTCAGAAAGCGTGCCGGACATAAAAGAAAATCTATGGGAAACTGCGGGTAACATGCACTATAAAGATAGGTTCACCCACACTACACCTACACTGTAACCAAACCACAGCACAGCAGTGTAAAATGGCCTGTACTTCCTTGAATATTCTGACACATATTCCCTATGTCCTGTGAGTAGGCACTGCTGTGTCACACATTTCACTGTGTTATGGGGAGGAGCTTCAGGAGGTGGAGTCAGTACAGGAATCACTGCTTGCAGAGAGCAATGTACCATGGGATATGTAGTCATTAGAAATGTTAAGTAGCCAACAGAGGAGAAGCTGCAAAGCATGCAAGGAAACCAGGAAGTTGTGGAAAGAGATGCCCAACAGACAAGCAGTACTCACAACATGAAAGGAGATTGTCCAAGTAAGCTTAGATTGTCAAATATAACTATTGATTCTATTGTTATTAAAATGCTTACATCTCATGTTATTACAATTATTACATTTCAGTCGAAGCTCTGACATCACACCACACACATCCTGCGTTTCCTGTTGCATGGGAATGCAGGCCGTACTGATTCCTTCCCTGAATAACACTACGTAACTTAAATAAATAAAGACACTCTTTACTGGCATAAAATTGGCCGCGGCACTTTTATTGGTATAAATTGAAAATTAAATAAATAATAAATAACTCATATCATTTATTCAAATGTAATAAATACACTTAAATAATCAAGAATAGCTCAGTCATTAAGGTCTCAAGCATCAATTGAATATCATAAAACAATAAGTTCCCCCTTTATTAAAGGGTGACAAACCACATAAAGTGCCAGCGACTGGGGAAAGGGAGGGTGGGGAGCTTGTTGAATGACACTTACCAACTGGCAAATTGCCTCAGGAGATCCTTCTTTATATAATAACCCCCCCAGGTTCCAGAACTTTCCAAAAGGTCACGTGGGGAGCTGCTTTTTCCGCTCAAACCACTTATAAATTTCCTAAAGGGCCATACATCTAAAGTGACAGCTGAGGTAAATTGAAATGACCCCTAACATTTGTTTAAATAACCAGAGGAAGTGACAGCCGCATGCCCATGAAAGAGGGCATTGATTGTTTGCCCACTTTTAACATTATGGGAAATGCAGTGCTGTTTCCGCACACGGATGTGAAGTGTGAGAAGACAGAAAGTTCTTCTCCTGGTGTTTTTTTCAGCGGAATGCGGTGACATCACCAAGGAGAACATGGTTTAACCATGAGCCTAGGTTCACACTACAGCGGTGTGGTAAATCCCATGTGATTCGCACAAGAACCGCACCGCATTTCTGTACAAATCACATACATTTTGTATGGCTCTATTTGTACTGCACCAAAAACGTGCAGGACCCTTTTTTGGGTCCGCACTAGAATCGGATCGCATAGGTATTCACACCTATGCGATCCGATTCTGTGGACCGATGTCGGGGTGTTGTTAACTTAACATACACACCCGCATCGGTTCGTATGAACAGGGTGCGATTGTGATGCGGTGTGTAATTCGCACTGAAAATGCTGCAAATTCCACACCGCATCAGTGTGAACCAGGGCTTACAAGAAAAGTAAGGCAGTCTGATTTACAATTTGTCAGTGTTTTATTAGAGCCTGGGGAGAGGATCTGCAGTGTTATCTGGATATCTCCTGTGCTGACCCTAAAGTATAATAGAAATTTTATGTGAAACTTTTCACCATCTACTGGCTAACTGCACTATTTTCCATTCTAAGTAAATGAAAAACACCCAACCAGCACAGGCAATAGCCAAATAACATTTGTTTTTTTTGCTACATTCACACAGAACAAATGTACATGCAATTTCATTGGGTGAATCTATGCACATTTAAATATACACAGACTGCTAAGAGTTGCAGCAAGGGTTAAAATACCCAGTGCTAACAGTGCACCACTCCTATAAACAACTGCTGTTGATTGGAGCAGCCTTTCTCAACCGGGGTGCCCAGCCACACTGGGGTTCCTTCAGGTGTCTTCAGGGGTGCCTTGGAAAAATGCCTTAAAATTGCCTAAAAATTGTATATGCATGCCAGCGGGTGCCTTTTAGTTACACAAAGCCACAGGTTTTCATTAAAACCTTCTAGCTGCCAGTGTCCTAACAACTAATCTTGTCATCGGTTGTTAAGGAGGACATTGGGTACCTGCACAGCATCCTTGTTTGCCCATCTCCGTCAGCACTGGGGTCACATTAGCTGAACGAGGGAGAGAAATTCATGGAGAAGAGAAGCATTGGAATACTAGCCAATACCAGTGTGCAAAGGTGTATTTGCTTTGGAAGAATAAATCACCTTTGACTTTGGGTATCCTACGTGTGTGCGGTTGTTGCTGCATTATGTAAAACTTTTTGTTTCGTTTTTTATATTTTAAAATGGGGTGCCACAAGATTGTACAGTATTTTAACCACTTCCCGACCGGCCGTTGTATATAAACGGCCGGAGGGTGGCACTGCAGGGTCGGGTGGCCGTTTATAAACGGCCTCCCCGCACCCTGCTTGTGCGCGCTCCCCGATCGTCGGACGGGACCTCTGTATGAGGCCCCGATCATGTGATCACTGATTGGTCAATCAGTGATCACATGCAAAGTAGTAAGCAAGATGTCACTTGTGACATCATTGCTTACTACGTGTGAAATCTGTGAATGATCACAGAGGTCACATGGTACAAGGCTATTCACAACAGCCTTGTACCATGTGACAAGCTGTGACCAATCACAGCTCACTCAGTAGTTCTCAATGGCTGCAGGAATGCAGACAGAGAGAAAGAGAAATGATTGCTTTTACATCCTATATGGGTGTAAAAGCAATCAGTGTAAAGAAAAAAAAAAAAACTCATCACCGCCCAAAAGTTGTACAGTGTCACCATGGTGATACTATACTGCTAGGGTGACAGTATGTTAAAAATAAATAAATAAATAATAATTATATAAAAAAAAAATGTTTAAAAATTATAATTTCTGGTTGTAAACTAATTTGGCTTATTTTTTTTTTTACTAAAAAGATAACAGAATAAATTTTGGCCAAGATTTATGATGAAATATTTTTTATTTGTCAAATTTTATAAGAAAAACACTTTTTTTCAAAATTTTTGGACATTTTCATTTACATAGCAAAAAAAATAAAAATCCCAGCGATGAATAAATACCACCAAAATAAAGTTTTATCTGTCTTAAAAAAATGGTAAAAAATTCATAAGGGTACAGTGTTGCATGACCGCGCAATTGTCATTCAAAGCGTGATAGCGCTGAAAGCTGAAAATTGCCCTGGTCAGGAAGGGGGTAAAAGTGTCCGGACTGGAAGTGGTTAAAGGGTGTCTTGACTGAAAAAAAGGTTGGGAAATACTGGATTGGAGCACTGTGCAGTGTGAGGTTTGGCGCTCAGAAGATGTATTACTGTATATGCAGCCTGATGGCATTAAAATGATAAATACTATGGCTTCTGTTGGGTTTTAATAAATAGGGCTCTTCATCACAGATGATATATGTGGTATGCTGTGTAATAAACACACTTTACTCTGACAACATTGCTACTTTGTAGCAACACATGACATCCACCAGCTGCCATTATGGAATGCCATCAACGTTCCAGACACTGGTCTGGCAATTGGCATAACTACTGTATATATAACACTAGCAGAGTATTTTATTGATTATTATGTCTAAACCTATTTTGTTAAACAGATTTCATGCTTGCTTTGTGTTTTGTGGGAATGAAGGATTAGCTCTAATACTTCTACATAATAAACTACCATTATCCCAATGCCACAAATAAGGATTCTATAGTTAGTACAAACTGGTCTGACAAGGGAATCCATTCTGTCATATGCAAAATTATATCGTCATACCTTACACATTCTTTTGTAAGCTGAGACTGACTAAACAATGTGTTTACACAGTGCAGGGAGGATCTGGATTGGCATCCTTATGAGGCCAGGATAGTGATTTGTGCATATTCATATAATGATGGGAGTTTGAGTTTGATGTACTATAGTTTTAATCCAAATTTTAGTAAACAGAGGTTACATGATTCTAGTTTCCTTTCTCTTTCATGTACGATTCAACGTTGATTCCAGAGTCAACTGCTAAATGCCTCATATATGTGAAAATGGATGACCTCTTTAAATACTTTTAAGTCAACTATTTATTAAAGAGACCTGTTACTAACATAAAAGATTGCAGAAACAAAATCACAGAAAATTAAGTATTTTATGTTTCAAAGAATTTCTTGAGTTTTCTAAGCAAAGTACAGTGAACCGGCATACAAAACAGGGATGCACAAAGATTACATCAAAGAAGAAAGGCACAGAGCAGAGCTCCTATTACCCATAGCAAAAAGGTACAAGTATAAAGACTTCTTGTTTGGAGGATTCATTTATTTATTATTTATTTATTTCAGCTACTTATATAGCGCCATCAATTTACACAGCGCTTTGCATATATATTGTACATTCACATCAGTCCCTAACCCTCAAGGGGCATACAATCTAAGGTCCCTAACACACATTCATACATAAACATACTAGGGCCAATTTAGACAGGAGCCAATTCACCTACCAGCATGTCTTTGGAGTGTGGGATGAAACCAGAGTAACCAGAGGAAACCCACACAGGCACAGGGAGAACATGCAAACTCCAGGCAGGTGGTGCCATGGTTGGGATTTGAACCGGTGACCCTAGTACTGCCAAGCGGAACACTTAGCCACTGTGCTGCTAATAACAGTACATGGAAAAGGCTTGCATGAAAAAGGTTCAGTCCCATGGGTATTCCTCATGTGGAAGAACAACTGATGTTACCTTGTGGATGGTGGAGGGGAATTTGTGAACTGGCAGTTCATTGGAGCGGTACAAACTTGGCAGCAGAGGAGAGAAATAAAAAGAGAAGTAGAGACAAAAAGGAAATGGAACAGAGTATAAAAACAGAAATCTAGGGTAGTACCGGGAAAGGAGGAGGAGGTGGGTGGGTGTGGAAAATCCCATGAGACCCAGCCGGCAGTAGTGTAACTCAAGGGTCTACAAACTTTCTAAACAAAGAGCCAGTTTACTGTCTTTCAGACTTTAGGAGGGGCCGGACTATGGCCAGTGAGGGTAGCAATTGCCCAAACTTTGATATTAGGGGAAGGAATTGTGCCCTATTTTTAGTTTCAGTGGTAGGAATTATGCCCCATTGTAGGTGTCTGTGGGAAGATTAGTGGCTCATATCAATTGGAGGAATAGTGCCCCAAGGGCCAGGTAAAGGTAAGCAAAGGGCCACATCCAGCCACTGGGCCACAGTTTGGAGGCCACTGCTCTAACTCATAGTGATCACAGAAAACTATTTTAAATGCTTACTAGCAGTCTAAATATTTTTTTATTTGCTTGCAATGTGCTTTTGACCTCACTAGAAAATTTGACTAGCACAGTTTCCTGGCACAACCCACTCTCTCCTTCCTCTTCTGGAAGTGTCTGATTACTGTCTGTGTCAGCACAGCTCCTCAGCCCCTCCCCTCCCTCTATATCTTTTATGTGGCTACCAGAGGGTAATACTATTGCATGTCACAAGGGAGGCATTTACATTTAAAGTGTATCTATGGTCAAGATATAAAAGTAATATATTCATTTTTACATTCATTTTTCAATTATTTCCAGTCAACTCCTACTTGTAAACTTACAGAGATTCTGGGAGGTGGAGTTTAAGGAGGTGGAGTCAATTTAGGAATCACAGCTTGCAGGCAGCAAGGTACCATGGGATTTGTAGTCCTTAGAAATTGAAAGTAAACAGCAGAGGAGAAATTGTAGAGCATGTGTGGAAAGAGATGGCTAGCAGACATACAGCAGGCATAACATGAAAGGAGGGTTTTCAAGTAAGTTTATACTGGATTGTTAAAAATAACTGTTCTTTCTATTGTTATTACTATGCTGGTATTATAAATTGAAAGTGTAGGTTCTGTCCATAGAACTCCTTTAAATAAAATGCATAGAATACATAAAATGGACATATTTACATTTATTGTCAGTGTGGTATATTTTTTGGTATTATAAAGAAAATATATAGAAAGCACTATATATTTTCTCTAAAATGTAAGCAAAGACAGGTGGTCCTCATTTAATGCAGTTCTTTATCTATTAGCTTTGCAGGGTAAAATGACAGTGTCTCTGTAAAGGGCTCCCCCAACCCTCCTAATACTCACTTAATTTATTACAGGTACTTATATAGTACTGTCAACTTACGCAGCGCTTTACATATATATTGTACATTCAGTTCCCTGCCTTCAAGGAGCTTACAATCCATGGTCCCTATCTCATTCATACACATACTAGGGCCAATTTAGACAGGAGACAATTAACCTGCAAGCATGTCTTTGGAGTGCGAGAGGAAACCAGAGTACACAGAGGAAACCCACACAGGGACCCTCGCTGCACCTTCCTTATCTGCAAGTGGTGCTGAAAGGACTGGTTTTGGTGATCTAGAGGAACAGTAACATCATTCTGCCCGTCATATGACACCGCCTGAGGCCTAGCGGTTGGCTGCTGGACCGGAGCGCCATCACAGGGGAGGAGGTCAATGTGCCTCCATATCCAGAAGTACCAGGAACTGTAACCACCTGCTGAAGAGACATAAGTATAAGAGGGATGGTGGGCCTTTTATAGGAACACTGTCACTTTGCCCTGCATGGACAAGATGACAGTCTTTCCTTAAATACAACCTCCTAGAATCCCTTTCACGTCAGTATTCAGACTGGAAGGGGAACTGGCAGTACAGAAGGTTAATCAAGCCATAAATCTGCCAAATATACAAGGTAGCTTGACTAGTGGAAAGGGTGCAGGGATAACCTCATCAGTGAGCTGCTGTCCTTTCACTATCCAATGTACTTAGTCTTTAAAAATAATGCAGCTCTAATAACGCATTTACAATTAATTGTCATTAGTAATAGTATCATAATTAATAATAATAATGTAATGTAATAATTATGTAATAATAATTACTTAATAATGTGACTCCTTGATGCCTTTTTTTAATGTTTTTTTACCTGACCTGCAGTAAAGAGATTTGTAGGTTTGGATCTTGAGTTTCAACATGACGTTCATAGGCACCAGGCTATGACTAACAGAGATGTGCATTCTAGGTGGTAGGGGTTTTATATGAATGGTTAGAAATAGCACTTCCCTTCTTTAATATATTTGAAAAAGTTATGATAAGGCATAATGGAATCTTTACCTACAAACTTGGAGACATAAAACCTATAAATATGTTCTATGATAAAAATGTTGGGTGGGTAATTTTTCACTTAGGGCCCATTAATATTATTATTATGCTTTTTTGGTTTTAAACACCAACCTAGTGCAGATAGCCATACTATACACCTACACAAACTATCAGGCTGTGTGCTCTTTGGGCCTCAGTATAAACAAAAATAAATAAAAATGAATCAATGGATCCACAGTCAGCACAACCTAAATGTGGTATAGTCACTTTCAGCCCAAAAGGGACCTATTTGATCTCACCTGAATATTTACTGATTTTGTATTCGACACCAACTTCCTGTGTGTTTTTGTGTCAAACAATGACATTCTTAGATTCACTTGCCTGGACTTTGCCATTGAGGTTTGGGGTGAGGAAAAGTTCCTAGTTCAAACTGCATTGTGAGTTTGGTCTTAGTTTACTTTTCAAGTCAAGCACGGTTTTATGGCAGCCTTGAAGCCCTTTAATTTCAGGATCTTTTCAAAGTTGATTCAGTGCTTTTGTTGGATCA